TTCTGCCTCTGACTCACTCTCAAGCGCCTCGATGTCAAGAGAGGTGGTGAAGTGGTCATTATTTATTGAGCAGTATACTCTTTCACATTGAATCTTAACAAGTCATACTGAATGTAAATACAACTGACTCTAAAGTAAGTCCCAGTCTGTGACATTGGATATTTTGAAGACTCAAAGTCCCAAGCAGTAGGTAGAATATTAGCTAGTCTATGTAATGTGCACAGAAAATAAACAGTTAACTGAATACTCGGATGGAAATTGCCTATAAGCACTCAGTAAAACATGAACACACACAAAAAGCTTCTGAATGATAGGAAGTATAATTAAAACATAATGTACATTACCATTTAGAGAGAGAGTACCTAAGAACTCAGAAAATAATCTCTCATCGAACTGAGGCTCCAGTAAAACACACTGACTGCGTCTCTACATGGACATCATGGTGTTTACATGAGCACAGAGAGACCGGGTATTCATGTTCCCTGTTTACATGATAAATACGAGTAACCTGGCATTTCGATGCCTTTTCTCATCTAAACTATTCAGTATTTGTATCTCTCTATCGTGACATAAAGACGAAAATCCTCTCCAGAAGTGAGACGCTTTTGCCTCCGCAGCCATCACTGTTAACTGATTAACTGCCACCAGCTGTCTCATGTCCATGTTGTCTGGGGGAGAAAACATATCAAACCAAGAGATCGTCAGCTTTGATTTTCGCTGTATTAACAATGTCCTGAACACTTGGTGTGTGTGCCTTACCTCCGCTACCGACATCGCTTCATACAACAGATCTGAGCTGTCAACAACACTCCTCCTTGAACATGCGCGCTATGGGAGAACCTGCCTTGGTGCAAAGTAGCAGTGAAAACATGGTACGGAGTTTCATTGATTTGGGCATTCTCTCAATAATGGAATGGATTTGATAGTGAAGCACTGACACAGCGCTCTACAAAGTGCAGCGAGTGGATAGACCGATTCACGGACTTTCCACACTTTTAGTGGGGGGGTCTAAACTAATAATTTCAAAAAGTGGGGGGAACTTGTCCCACCCTCATATAATGGCTGCGACGCCCATGGTGCCAATCCAACTTCACCCTGCTACAAGTGCTAATCTATCTTCCCCTTGAATCTTATTTTCTCAGACTTTGTGTTATTGCTTTGTCATGTTTTCTATTTGTCCTCATAAACATGCAGTGGAGGAAGTAGCACTGTACTTATACTTAAGTAAAAGTAATAAGTGAGTAAAGTACATTTAAGTAAAAGCTAAATATACCAAATCTAAAATAATATCTGAATAATATCTATCAAAATTAATGATGCATTAATGTGTCTGCCATTTAAATGTTGCAGCTGTTAATGATGAGATAAACTGCTATACATAATCATACATAGTAAATAATCAATGATTTGGCACAAAATGAAAATATAAACCCCAAAAAATAACATAATAGGGCTCCACTTAATAACATTACCTGCAAAAGAGTACAAAGTCTGCTGCCAACATATAGTGGAGTAGAGGTGGAAATACTCAAGTACAGGTACCTTAAAACATGTACAGCTGTTTCTTTAGTACTTTCCACCACTGTGTAAACACATGTCCCCCTCACTGTTCTCCTGCCTCGCTGCCACTCCCTTATTATCTCCCTCGGGTGCCCCTCTTGTCTTTATAAGCAGCTTTCAGCTTCCCCAACAGTAGACACACAGCAGGACGGCCTGCCAGCACCCCCATTAGCACTGTGTCCTCAGGTGAGCGAGAGAAAAAGGGAGTGATGTAAGGAGGCACTTGCGAGGTAAACGCAGTGGTGGAACAGATTTCACCAGTGAATAAATATCAATATATAACCAGCGGTCACATCTGCAGCTGGTAATAACTTTCTGACTTCCTAACTCTCAGATCACAGTTGAATACGTGCACATCATTAGGACCGGGGGCGCACAAACCCAACGGGGCTTTTGCCTGTAGGCACATACTACCAGTACTTGTGTGTGTGTGGGCCATCTATCACAGTGACAGGCTGCTGCGTGTTTACTTAATGATGTGGGGGTTTATTTATGAAGTGATGGCCGACGTGTGGGAGAGAGAAAAAGTGAAAGGGGGGGGGGGAGATTGAGACAGCCCGAGGATGTGACATTAAAATATCATCAAGGTGATGGATGTCCACACACACACGACATTAGAGAGAAGTACAGAAAACAGCTGCGCGACGGATGACAAGTCGTATCTGGACTTTTGCGAGTGCCTCTGTGTGTGTGTTTTATAATGACTGAGTGTGTAGTCGTGTGTGTGCTTTTTCAATGACTTCTGTGTTCATTAAGGTGTCACATGTGCTGCCACTGTAGTTTACGACTCGCAGGGTAATGAGTTGAAGATAAGATGAGTTCATGGGCGTATGTGTGTGTGTTTTCTATACTGTGTGCGTCTTTGTTACACTGGATAACATGGACTCTGGAGTCACATGATCAGTACTTTTACAAAACAGAAAACATGATATTTTGATTGCTACCTGAGAAGTCGAAATCTTCTTCAAAATTCAACACTTTTTGATAATTGCAAAATCCTGCTTTATTCAGAAATAATTTTGTACAAACTACTATCCTCTATAAACAGTATTATACTTGCTTTCAGTTTGTCTATGGATATTGGACATTTATATAACACAATGGATTTAAAGATGGGATATCTGGGCCTCTGCTTCATCGATGTTGGAAAAAATGACGTTCTCACTAACAATAGACCCCTTGTTTATCCCTTTACGAATGTGAAGAACAACATTCTACTGTAGATTGTGGAAATATTGAGTTTGAAACTTTATCCGTCTGTACAATAACAATGTCATATGAAAAGTTATTCCCCACTTACAGAACAAAGGAGTCTATGAAAAGAAAACGCCATGTGGCTTAATTGGCCATCAAGACATTACAGAGAGCCTATCATTAGCATAAAGAGAAAATAGACAGAGAGAAGGGGACAGTGTGATTGTCATAATTACAAGTGTGACCTATACACAGACAGGGAACAAGGGGGAAGGGTCAAATTAGAGACGGATAGAAAGACAGGGACACGGAGGGAGAGGGGTTAGTGGAGAGAGATGAGGAGGGGGACATGAAGTCCTGTTTGAAGGCCGGATTTAGCTGCACACACACCCACTGAAACGTGGCTCTCCACACACACACACGCGCGCACACACACACAACTCCACCTCGAGATCATGTATATGGATGACCGCTGAGAAAATAAACAGAGACATGAATAGATACTGAACCACAAGCTTTTATCCACGCTTTTGTTTACACCAACGTAGCTTAGTGGGTTCCTTCTCGAGCAAATGGACACACACACACACACACACACACACACACACACACACACACACACACACACACACACACACACACACGTCTTTCCTTTCACGTATAAACCACTCAGAGAGGGAGCTCCTGGTCTTGTGTGGAGAGCTTGGATAAACCTTTTTAACCATTCAAGGCTACAGAGATAGCATAAAAGAGCATCGCGGCGCTGGTGGTTGAGGCGGCAGCTAAAAGGCTGATCACACAAGGCCAAAGCCAGAGATAGAGTGCCGCGCTCGAGTGGGCCGCATTTACGCTATAGTTGTACAACACGGAGAGAGAAAACGGGTAAATATTCGTGGAGTAATGTAGTGTGGACACAGTTAGTTCCACAGAAACTAAAAGGTAGCAACCATCCACATAAGCACTCAATTCTGTCTTATTCCAGTCTCAAATGTTTATATATTTGCATCCACACAGTTCTGTTTACTATATCTACTGAGAACTGATTGGAAAATATAGATTTATTTCCAGTTGTTCGTACAATACAATCATTGTTCCGCCTTCTACCATCTCCTCTCTTTTCTTTTCGTACCTGATATTACTTCCCAGGTGTTTTACGGTTTTACTGTTTCTTCGCCACGTGTGTGTGATTGTGAGACGGGGTGTTTCATTATCGGGCTCCTCAGGGGACCAACATACCGCTGGCTTTCACCGTGGACACACCTATGTCTTTTTTTTGGGTGAAAAACAATAAATGAGGGCAGAGGTTGCGCCTCACGCTTGCTGCGCTTTAATTGCATCAGTGTTTGGGTTCTGAAGGCGGCGGCACATGCTGCACAGGGAAGTGTAATGAGTGATGAAGACCTTTGGGCCTCAAGGAAAGCAGCCGGAGAGTGTCTCTGCCTAATGAAGACTGGTTGGCAGGGCTTCATTGCTCAATATACACGTGGAAGCGAGGACACGAGCACAGCAGGAAGCCCGTTGTCAGGTGATTGGGTGTGTTGTCAGTAGATCCATCCCAGAGTTCCCTTGCAAGCTTAAAGGAAATCCCTTTTGAAAGAATTCTGATTTGGATCAAAGTGTGATTTTCTGCATCCTTGGGCACGCAATTCATAAGATCCCTTTTTAAAATGTCTGATAAATGGCTATTGATTTCCGCGGTGGAGTTCGGAGTGTACGGAGGTAAATGAAATGATTCCTCAGGCCGGATCGATACAGGCTCAGGGACATGTAGCAGTGCAGCTTGCTTAGGAGAGGCGACTGCAGGGAGATGTCAGGCCCCTTGGGTCCAAACTATGTTAAAGAAAGAGAGAGAAGAGGACAATAATACCAGAGGGAGAAGAGCGAAGGGAGGTTGTATTGAGCTAAAGGAAAGGGTGGATGGAAATGTCACCGGTCTAATAGATCTCTCCATAAACTAAATGAGGAGGAGAGTGGGCGCGCCTCGGTGGCACACGGCACCTCAAAATGTTAACAAGGGAGCTGAAAATAGCCCGAGAAAGGCAAAGGGGGAAAACAGGCCGGCCTCACAGGAACACCGGAGAGCTCTGGAGACACGTATTCCTTCATTTGACATTTCAATCTTTGAAAATGGTGTCCAGTGGGCGTGTTGTGTGTTGGGCGTTTGAATGGATATTTAGGGCAAGAAGCGGAAAAAAGCTCTCCTTGTAAACTAAAAAGCTACGCACAACAGATGCATGCACACTTACCCGACTCGGGTCGTTCTCCAGCGCTCTGCGTCGAGCGGCTTCCAGCTCATCGTATCCCGGAGCGGCTCGGTTCTGCTGGTACTCCCTGCGTTGCCCCTGGAGACGTGGATCACTGCAGACAGACAGACAGACAGAGAGGGTGTTAAAAATGGCAGATAGTTGCCGAGAAGCTATTAGCTAAATCTTGTGGATTTAGGTGAAAAGACCAACAGGGTTCTCATCATGGCCTTCAAGTCAAATTCCTAAACTAAATCCAGATAAACGGTTTAATTTTCACCGCAGCTGGGGATTAAAAAGGGAATAAAAAGCCAGGTGGAACATGGCAGATTCAGGTTCATCCTTTTCTTGAATCCACCTGTATTTTTCTTGCCTTGCAGCGACAACCCTTGACAGCGCGGGAAGATTGACGGGCAGGCAGATAATATCCACAAAGTACTGCCTCTGAGAAGACATCAGTGCATGAACTGAACTTTCCACAGCTGACAGAGGAAACCAAGGTGGGAAAATGGAGCAACAAAAAGGAGGGAAAGGCATTTGATGGATGTGCCTTTTCACTGTAAAGTGACATAGACCAATGCGGCGCCTCCTCAATTGAACTGCAGACGCATTGAAAAGTCGTCACCCGAATGATCCCACTGCACCTGACCTTCAAGTGACCGAAATGTGAAAAAGAAAAATACCTCAGCGACAAAAAACACAAAATGAAAAGATAAGAACTAGGACAGAATTGGGACAAAACTTTAAGAGAAACATCATCATGCTCACTGGACCTTAATGCTAGATAAGTAACGCACACCTGGGAGTACAGAGCATGCATAAACAAGAGTACGGACACACACACACACAAGTCCAGACACAAAATGGTGCGCCTGAGTGAGCACAATCCTCACGATGTGCTATCAAAGTACGACATAGTACTGCCGTTTATCTGTGTTTACTGGCGGCATTGGAAACCGTATCTCATATTGACACTGATATGCTGCTCGTTTGCCGTTTCGTCTGCGGGAGATACACTGTGTACAAATATTACAAAAAAGGGGCAAACTTTGCAGCCCTTCTTCCGCCCTGCAAAACTCAAACAAGTACACGTAAGGAAGGCCTTTGTCCGGTAGGTAAACACCCACGCAGCCTTCATCAAACGGGCGTTGTGTTGTACATGCTAATGGTCTGACCCCCAGGCAGATATTGACCGAAGGAGAGCGAGACACAGAGCAGAGAGGTTCATTAGTGAAGTACATAGCTTACGTGTTTAAGTCTCTCTTGTGACCCTGCCTTTAATTAGAAAATCTGGCTGAGAGTGTGTTTGTGTGAACCTCAGGAATGTGTGTGTTTCCACGTCGAGTTAATCCTCGTAATTGAGTATTTGGGACTCGCTGTGACCGGGTGAACAGATGTCATAATGAGTTATACACACTTTAGGGCTACTATGTTGATATGAAAAATGACGCTGTGCCTGCTGCCATTGGGAGTTTCCAAAAAAAACTGTAGATGCTACTCCGTCCTAAATAAAGGATATATCCAACGTGCTTCTCGAGATCGCTTCAGTGGGTTGTTTCAACGCTAATCAATACTAATCTGCGTTTCCCATAGTCCTGCAACAACCATGCTGTTCAGATATTCACACCCTAATCTCCCGTATCATTTATTTATTCACTTATTACTTGCTTTTTATTGCTCTTACTCACCCTCTGCCGGGCTCTTCTCTATGCCCAAACAAACAAACAACGGACCCTCACAGAACGGATGCATGACGCCAACTTGTGTTTATTTATTTGTCACGCCACTCCTCTTCTACCGAACCCATTAGCCAATCCCTGGGCCCGTAATTAAAGCTGCCATGTTGATTGAGCGTGCGTGTCGCTCTTCCAATGAAACAATACTGTAATTATCTCATTACGCCGCGGCCTCCATCACTGACAACGCCAAATGTTATCATATTAATAGCAGAAGACAGAGGCTGATTCTGGATAAAACATTAGTGTGGGGGAGTTTGGTGAGCAGCAGGTTGATGGGCTGACACTTTTAGCGGGCTGCTTTTCAAACAGTGACACAAGAGGGAGAGGATGCATAAGTGTGTGTATAAGTAGACACATTTATGCTGTCCTACATGTGTGTGTGAGGGAGACAGGAAGGCTCACAACGGCTGCTGATTGCCTGTCTGCAAACCTGGGACCAGTTGCATGAACACAACAGAAAAAAGCTTTGGTGATTTAAAATGCTCTCGATAGAATAATATGATTTGACTGTTTTTGACACAGAGAGACAGCTGGGCTCAGACCGGTTGTAGACAGACCCCCGTGTTAGATAGATTTACTATCTAACATGAGTCAACCTTAAAGCCAGATTGCGATGGGAACCAGGGATGTGTGCGGACTTCCCTCAAACAAACCTTTTATATGTGATGTATGGAGGTCTAAACTTAGAGGGACTCACTCGTACCAAATAGGGTTTTGGGCTTGTCCACATTGTTTAGTTCAGCCCTTCAGGAAGAACCCTTTTTGAGCATCTATTTCCAAGAGGGTGGTAAGCTCATATGCATCAGCCTGAGTGTCGGACATGTAAATAGACCGCAACTAATCAATACATCAATAAAGTCTTATTTTGCCATATTAGCTCAACCACAGAATTTGCTACCACTTAAGCCGGACGTGTTTTCCGTGCAAGTATCATAATCCATCCATATTTCAGAGTATCTGACTATGCAGGTCGATCTGAGAGCGCACAGAGGGAAGTAATACCGGAGGAGGATGGAGACGAGAGGAAGAGGAGATGAGACACAGGATCAGGAAATGAAAGATGCACCAGAAGACAGAATGAGAGCAAAACCAAACAGCAACATAAAGACGGAGATGGAAACTTGGAAATGAGTGAAAAGAAGGAGCTGGAGTGAGAACAAAAACCTTCAGATATGAAAGGGTAGCGGGAGAGAGTGTGAGAAATGCAACTATCCTGTGGTGTGAGCCTGTGTGGGAGCAGACTAATTAGGAAGTGTGCGCTGCCGCCGCCGGCTGATTTGGTGACTTCTTCTCGCTGCGGCCAGCTGATTTAAACACAACACACTGGGGGTGGAAAGTGGAAACGCTCAGGCAGGCACTTTTTTTCTTCACTGCCTGCGAGCTGGAGGTAAGCAGACATCAAAGTGCGTGGTCAATGTTTGAGTTCCTGGTACAGTTTTGGGAATAGAGTCAGATAGAAACTCTGTGGAGCTCCAAACTGGAGGCTTTTGAATGTCCCCCTACATAAACACATGTTCCTTTTTGTCCCAACTCCAGACTGTTGCTCTAACACTGGATCCTACACTTCCCATGGTGTAACTAACACTACAATGCCCTCATACTTCAGACCCCCTTTAGAGCTGCAACTGTTTCCTATGGCGTCTAACACAACAGACATCATGTTTCTGTGTTTGGCTAAGTGCTCAGCCATAAAAATGAAACGTGATGAACTCACAATCTAACACTAGTCCTCCGTGTAACTGACCACGAACAAAGGAAAGGCTGGGAGCTGATTGGATGCAAAAAGGAAGTCGCTAAGATAGAGCTCTAATAAAACAGGCTTTAAAGAATTAATACGCAGCCAACACTAATGATGTGTTGTGTTTCCTCTTTGAGCTCCTCCGAGGGCAGGTGTTGTCTAAATCCTAGCAGGCTGTGTTTTCTGCATGTGGATGTCTTCTTATATAATGTGGCTTTGCACGCTGGTTGCTTTCCTCTCTATAGGGGAAGAAATCTGTGTCGCTCCAAAATGAGAAGAAGAAAACCAACACTATTCAGGAATGAGACATCTACATCCAAAGCAGCTTCTTTCACAACATGTTTCCACGATTATCGAGGCTGTCTACAGCGATTTTGACTTTGCCGCAGTGTCAGGTGAACTTAAAGGCATGCACTCCTCGTTGTAAAAACCTGGGAGCATGCTCACTGATGTGTCATTTATTTGTCTTAGCTTACAAGCTCGCCTTCATCTTGCTTTTCTTAGCACACCGGTGCGTTTGACAACACACCCCTCTCCCTGGAGTCGTTGCTTCTCTCTGCCTCGGCCTCTCCTCTGTTTCTTGCTCCGGCTACGAGCGGTGCCTCCTGGCTAATACAATTTGACAAGCATAGCTAACCTTTTTTTCTCCACAGGTCAGCCTCTAGCATAGCTCTAATCAGATGTGACGCCCATCACGGCACACACCTGCCATTGAAGGCCTAATGAAAATGTCCAACGGTAAATTAGGGAGACAGCGCCGGAGTCCACTGTTGAGGGCTCTGACAGGAGGGGAGTTGTGTTGGGGGGGGGGGGGGCTATCATGTCTCAGTTGGCACAACTATGCAAACACAGAGTGGGCTGAGGCGTGCACATTTACCTTCAAAAACATTTGGATAAAGCTCGATTAGCATTGAGGATGTCTCACTTGCATAATGAGCAGCATCCTTAAAACGATGATGTTGTTCCCTTGGAAACAATGAAAAAAACGTGCATGCCGCAGCTATCGACGAGTGCTTTGTGGGAACATAGCGTACTCCGACACGCAATTCAACTCATGAATATATATATATTTTACACACACAGTAGGTACGCTTACACCCAGGATTTTTGTGTGGTGCCATAAAAAGCCGGACCACACACAGCATTGTTGCTAGGCTACACCAGGTTTTTCTCGCCTAGAAAAACACTACAGGTGGGTGGCTCTGTGTGTGTCTATTTCTGGCTGTGTGTACGTCTGTGTGAATGAAAGCACAGGGGTTCCAACCTCTAGCGGGCTGCGTTGTGTTTTAACAGATGTGCAGACTTTGTGAATGAGCCCTCGTCCCAGCCGCAGGTGGAAAATAACCGCCGACGAGGCAGCATGTGGATGGGAGTGACTGTGGCATCCCATCAGGCCACACTACCTGATAATACTTACTAATATACCTCTATTCGTATGGAGGTAGGACTATCACTCTTAGTGTTAAAGCATGGTTAATATTACATTTGTTAGATTTCATTTCAAAACAAATGAATAAGATGTGTCAGGAGTGGAGACAAAGACAACATTTTCAGGTTCATATTTCTATGTAGTGTCTCTACTGGGACAAGTCTCCATGTTTTAATGTTCAAAAAGCTCTGCCTGAGCTGCAGCACCTCTGTTCACCCTCTGTCTGAAACCAGAGCCAGTCTGATTTGGGATGTTAGCCTTTGCAGACCATTTACATGCACAAAAACCTAGATAACACACTCCAGGACCGGGAGAACCCCAAAAAGAATAATATGGCCTCTTTAAGAGTACTTTTCATTTGTGTTTTGGCAATATGGCCGCCCACTCATGACGCTAATAAACATTTATTTCTGTCTTTCTTTGTCCCTGGAGACCAAGCTAACAAGCCAAAGATGGCCCCTCATCCATCATGCTAATGCTAAAGACCATCTAATATACATTATGAGAAACCGGGGGACGGAGACTGGACACACCGAGAGTCACAGCGATGGAGAGAGAGAGAGAGGGAGAAAACAGGCTGGTAATGAAGTACCCAGCACTAGTGGATGAGAGCTAAAGTGGTCTAACAGATCTGTCAGGCTGCTAGACTGTGGCTAATTATCGCTCTTCCTCTTTTGTCTGCTTCCTCTCCTCTGTCACTTCTTCCCTCTCGAATTTACGCATTTCTCTCTTCCCATTTTGGCTCTCACTTTCTTCCCCTCCTCTACACCGCGTTCTCTTTTTCTCTGCGTCCCTCCGTCTGTCACTCCTCTCCGTTCCCATCTGTCTCCTCTCCATGTCCAACCCTCTCCTCCTCTCTGTTTCTTCTCTTTCTCTGGATGAGATTGGGTGTCTGGGGCTTAGCTTTTTGATTTGCAAGTCAATAGTAATTTCTGTCAGAGAGTTTGTGTTGAGGGAAGTTTTAATGTGGCTGTATTATTTCTTACGGGGAATGATGAATTTGCATTAGAATCCTCTCTGGATTTACTAATATTTTTCTGTCTCCCATACAAAGCCGGCTGCAAGTTCAACTCTGAAACTTCAGCAGTAATAATATATAATACGGTGGGCTCTGACGTCCGGGTATGATCATCAATAATACGTTTTACTTACATTGTATTGACTTAAATTGCTTGTTAGATACCTCCACCTTCACTTCTTTGAAAGGCATGCAGGAAAACTTTCAAATTCAACTCGTGTTCACATCCATACTCGGTTAACAATGAAGGCTAGTGCAGCAAAACTGACTCTTAAACACTTTTTGTACTCATTTATAAACGTTATTAGTCTTGTGACATCTTTGCACACCTGAGTCTTGTGACATCTTTGCACACATTATAGTACGTAGTGTGAACAGACAAGGGTACAGCTGGTGGTCTGAGAAAAGAGTTTAATTCAAATTCAACCTTGTGCTTTCAGGATGTGCTCTGCTGCACCTGGACCCTGTATGTGTGTGTGTGTGTGTTTGCACGTCAATACGGTGAGAAACAGGGAGAGACGGTGTATGTAAGAGTGTGTGGGTGTGTGCATAAATAAGGGTGTTGCTACAGTGTAAGCATGCATTCATGTTTTATGCATTTTCTGGCAGCGCATGAATTTAGATATGTGCAAATACTCCCTCAGTCATGCTGGTCAAGCCATGGTGTGTGACCTTGGGTGTACCTGCACAACTTGCTACACACACACACACATTTAAAAACACTGATATGTATTACAATGCATGTGGGGTCAAATCAAGAGCAGAAGTTTGGTCCTTGAAAGTATAAAGAGTGATCACCTGTCTGCCTGTGTGGGCGGGGGTCTTGACTTGTTGACCTTGGCGTAGAGGCCGTCCAGCTCCTCCTCCGAGGCCTTCAGCGGGTTGGACCCCCCGGTGGGCGGGGCGGGGGAGGGCGTGCGACTCACAAACGCCTGGGGCGATGGCGGCGGGCGGAAGTTGCTGATGCGGGCGTAGTTTGGGTCGCTGTCGTCGTCTTCCACGTCGGGGAAGGAGGCCGAGTCGGGGGTGGCGTGGCCAGACTCGATAGTGGCGTAACGCGGCTCATAGCTGTCGGACATTTAGTGAAAGGCGGCAGTTTAGAGGGACACTTTGTAAGGAAATACAAACTTTAAACTATAAAAAGACACAGAGACATATTTCCTTCCAGTCATACCCGTCTCTTTGGTCCGGGATCCTGTCCAGCTCCTCTTCACTCAGGGCCTCCAGTTTGTTTTTGGAGGATTTGCCAGCATCTTTGCTCTTGTCTTCCTTCTTCTTACCAAACCTGAACAACACCAAAAGAGACACAAATGCAAAAAGGTTAGTTTGAAACAACCTGAACGACCTTTATAATACTAAAACCTCAGGAGGATGACAAACATGCTTTTATTTTGAAGGCAAGGTTTATGCACCATAATATGTTTTTTTCATTCAACAGAGCACGTAGGAGTTGATGAAAAGAGGCTGTTTAACTCAGACACACGAATATTCTTTGACTTCACATTTCTACACGGTCACACACACACTGTGAAACCAACTCAGTCTTACTCCTGTGTGTTCATTAGTGGCTTTGCCTGGAAAAAGCTTAATGATGGATATGGGTATAATGTCGCAGCAGGCACTGACAATCCACTAGTGTGTGTGTGTGTGTGTGTGTGTGTGTGTGTGTGTGTGTGTGTGTGTGTGTGTGTGTGTGTGTGTGTGTGTGTGTGTGTGTGTGTGTGTGTGTGTGTGTGTGTGTGTGTGTGTGTGTGTGTGTGTGTGTGTGGGCACATGAAAAAGAGCTATAGCTGTAACGCAGCATATGGAGCATGAATATTTGAACATTTTGTCCAATAGAAAAGCCGTTACGCCACAGTGGGCTCTGTTTTTCTTATCAACTCTGCCATAACGACCACCATCATCATTATCATCATTCTGGAAGTCTCATTTTACAAAATATACTCGTCACCTCTGTTCTCGTTTTAATGAAGCTCACACTTGGAAGAAATTACCCAAGGCTTTTCGCTGTAAATATTGCATATCTCTCCGTCGCTATTTCGCCTCCTCCGTCTCACAACCTACTTATTTTTCTTCCTCCTCTCGCCCTCTCCGAGCTCCCGCTGAGCCGCTCTAATGTCTGTGTTTATCTCATTAACAGCGAGGCACTTCTCCTCACTGCTACAGGCGGGAACGTGGCCTGAATCCTAACCTGTTGGCCCTGGCCAGCATCAGAGCCGCAGTGAAGCCACATTGACCTGGCACCGTCCTGCAAACCAATTAGTGATGTTTTTATCTCCTCTCCACTTATACCTCTGTGTTTCAACGTTGCCAGCAGCAAAGCCGACACTCACATGGCTTGTGATTCGCTGTGAAGAAGGCACAGATAGTTGGCACACCAAATTATCTTCTTTTATTTCACTAAGTTTGTATGTCCTATGTTTAAGAGTCTGGCAGAAAGGATTCACCTCAAGCGTTTGAAGGGACACTGCTTTTATCTAAATGTGGTGGATTCAGTCGAGTCTAGTGAGAATATGCTTTGTTTCAATTGAATACACCTGTATGGGTGTGCAGGGCCTTTAAGTAATGAGTAGTAAACCAATTACTGGTAAACTGATGAAGTGTACCGCACTTGATTTTAGCAAGTTCAAATCTGCAGCATTTGTTTTATCTTTATTTTGTATTCAGGTGACTCCTGCTGAGCCCTTATTTTTCTCCACCTCACTTCCTAGAGATGACTTGCCGCAGAAGCAGTGTGGGCGCTGCCGCAGCATCTTTTTTCTTCTTCTCGGGACTATTTAGATTTTCTAAGCACTACCCACATTATGCAGGAGCCAAAAGCAGCCTGCCAATTACCTCACTTATAAGCATATAGAATTCAACGCTGAGTAAAAGCAGTATCAGCTTTATTTCTCTCAGTCTGCATCAATAGACACGTAATTATATTACACGTAAATATCTGATTATCCAAAATCCCAGGTTTACCTTGCTAAGCTGTCTGATAGATTCATTCCTCACACACACACACACACACACACACACACACACCTTAATCAACATTCAAAGGGGGCAGAGGTCCACAGTTGGACCCATCATTATCTCTGCATTAATTAGGAAAGCCACTTTTTCTCACCGCATTGTCTGGGAAGAAGATGGAAGGAAGTAAGGGGGGGGGGGGGTGTGGGACTCCCAATTAGAGACATGTACCTGCCATGGGGGAGGTGGTTATCCCCCGCTCTCCTATTATCTCACCCCTTGTTCATCGCCAAATCTTCTCCCACTCTTTTCTCTCTCTCTGACTATTTTTTGTGTCATTACTTTCTCTATCCTTTGTTTCGTTTATTAATTCTTAGGACAGTTTCTGCTCCGTCACTCTCAGAAATGTGACAGTTAATTTCCTGTCGGCAGCTTGAAACAAATAAATGACAGAACTATAAAGCTAATGCACAAACATTTACAAAAGCAGCTCTATAAACCGACGTTACTCACACACTATAAATCTGTATATTGCTCAGTAACGCAGGTAGGCAGCCACACACACTCAGACAGCAATATACATCAATACAACACACACACACATACTCTGTAGGGAACGGCAAACAGTCTCAGGGAATAGGACATCTCATTAACTTGGCATTATCTACCTACACAACCACTCCATCAAACTCTCATTAGGGGGAGGTAGGGGGTCCGAGTGAGTCAGTCTGCGCTGGTGTTCCATTTAATACACTCCCCACTGTCACAGGAGCTACTGGGAACCATTATTAGTGTGTCGCTGTCATCATTAGCCCGCCGACTCACGCCTTCACACTGGCATCACCTCTGTTAGCCAGGCAGCTTCAAAGTAGACGACTCTGGACTGATGTGTTTGCATTGAACTCTGGGAAAGAGAGTTCCCGCGAGTATATTTGACACGAGGGCTGAGGCAAACTATACTCGACCAAGGAGATGTCTTCACGTTTTGTTAGACGAAAATCCAAACACTATTCACCCTTATATGATATAGAGAAAAGTCTCCCCCTCTCATTATGAACAATGTAACACCGTAATAAAGGACTGTCACTTTAATAAAGGAATATCTGGAGTGTAGTTTAATGTTTTTTACATGGCTGCACCCGGGTATATCTGACAACAACGTATAGTTAGACATTATTTTTCTGTCGATCAACCGACATTGTTGCAGCTCTTCATGTCACTATGTTACACTCTACCCATTTTTAAAGGAAATGCTAAAAAACTGAAAAAGATTTAACCCCAAATACATTCACATTATATTTTTACACTTTTGTTGTCATCTATTTCCTAAGGAAGCCGTTTCGGGACTCATTCGAATATATATTTCTTGAAGACACAACGACTTCTTCTTTTCCTGAATCCTATGTGAAAAAACGACGTCTGCAATCATTGACGATGACGACGGCACTTTACAGAATCAACAGCGTGATTTGGACGGCCAGCCAGTCGCAGAGCTGCAAAGCAAGCTGCAGCTGAGAAACTGGACTGACCGTAATTACTACAGCTACTGTCATTCTCATTACTGTCGGGGAGGTGGAGGAAAAGGGGGGGGGGGCTCCGTTAGCCGTGCTCTAATGAGGCTCTATATGTAACAGGGAGATCACAGCTAGCCAGTGTGCTGATGTCACCGACCTGACCTGTGCAATTAGAGCGAGGGAGAGGGAGGTCTATTAGAAAAACGTAACAATTACTGAACTCTCTCTTAACAAAGTGCATTAGACTCCTGCAGCCACCAACTGAACATCCCATCTCTGCAGACTAACAGCGTGACGGCAGCCCTTTTCCTCCATGAATCTTTCAAGAAGTCATTTCTTCGCTTCCGCTTTCAGAAATAAGGGCGCTTTGTTTTCTCCAATTGTGACAAGAACTCTGGCGCTGTGCAGTGTCTGCAATCTTAATAAGCTTTTTCAGCAGGGAGTCGGCGGGTGGGTGGTTATAACCAGGAACAAGAGTGTGTGTGTTGAGGAAGAAACTGTGGGTTTTCTCCAGAAGTTTTTCCTTGTACGATGTGAGGGTCTAAGGACAGAGGGTGTCGTATTGTCATACTGATATTCTGTACACACTGTGAAGACCACTGAGACAAATGTAACATTTGTGATATTGGGCTATATGAATAAACATTGATTGATTGATTGATTGATTGAAGTCACATCAGGACGAGGAGGAGGAGGACCTGACGTGTGTATTACATACGGTTAAGGATGGCTGTGTGAAGTTTCATTAAATTGACTTTTCTTGGTTGTAACCTCTGCAAAGGATGGGTAATCTCCACATACGCATTAGCCGTGTTTAGCCTCACAAATTAATGCTACCTGTTCACAAGAACCGGAAAGTAGAATGAAGTCAGACGACGACAAGAAGGCAAGACGTTTTGAAGAGAAACTGCTGTAACTTTTTCTGCAGTGTTCTTTACTCTGTAGCAACATCCCAGAGGAGATTAAAGCATGCAAGATATTCTTGGGTATGCATGTCCAAGGCGATTGGACAAGCCTCATGGTTTGATGCTCGAAACTTAAAATCACTATAATCAGAACACTGAGTTTAAAGCAATTGAGACAACAGGCTAAATATCCTATTCGTCTTGGAGAATGAATGAAAGTTAGATAGAGCGGTTAAAAGAGAAAAACAACGAGTTAGTGAGAAAAAAAGGAATTAAAAGGAACAGGCTAAATAGACGATCTGCCTTGGAGAATAAACGAGACACTGAGAATAAGCAGAGGCAGAGAAGAAAGGGAGGAAAGAAAGTGAGAGAAAAGAGAGGGGTGTGTGAGCCAAAGCTCCCGTGAAAGTGCAGCTGGGGAGGAATAAGGAGCTTAGGAATATATAGAAGCAATGCAGCTGCGCGGGGAGAACAGTTAATCAGCCAAGCAGAAATGTTATCGCAGTAATTAGATTGCTCTGTATGTATTTGGAGAGGAGTGCACATATCTCTGTGGAGTTTGCAGTAAAGAGGGGGGAGGGAGAGGAGCAGACGGAGAGAGAAACGGGAGACACACACAGAGAGATTAACACTATAGAGGGTTGTGATGTAACACGCAGCCTCCTTCTCCTGTTCTGGCTACGGTGAGACAAGTCGGAAAGTATTTCTGGATGGAAATAGACAGAACGACATTCGCGGGCAAAAAATAGACAACAAGCGCCCTTTACATTTCTACTGGTTTCCTGGTGGAACTGGGGATCAGACTACAAGCAGACCGCCACCCAAAACCAAGGTCAAGCCAGGCCACTCGCTTTGATTGACAGCACCATCAGCCAATCCTCTGCAGAAAGCCCCGTCTTTGATCGATATAA